AGCCGAAGGCAGACGCTTAACGACTGAGCCACCCAGGCACCCTCAGATTGGCTTCTTCATTTAATAAAATACATTTGAAAAAAATATGCATTTTCCCCCTATGTCTTTTTATGGATTAATTGCTCATTTCTTTTTAGAGCTGAATAATATTCCATTGTCTGGATGTATCACAGTTTACTTATACTTCCACCTACTGAAGGACACCTTGGTTGGCTTCTAGTTTTGGCAGTTATGAACAAAGCTGCTACAAATGTTTGTGTGCAGGTTTTTGCGTGGACGTAAGTTTTTCAACTCGTGGGAAAATACCCACAACTACTGGATTGTATAACACGAGCATGTTTAATTTTGTAAAAAACTGCAAACTGTCTTCCAAAGTGGCTGTTCCATTTGGCATTCTCACTAGCAATGAATGAGAGTTCCGGTTGCTCCACATCCTTTTCAGTGTTTAGTGTTGTCAGTGTTTGGATTTGACCATTCTAATAGATGTGTAGTGGTATCTCATTGTTGTTGTTGTTGTTTTTAAAATATTTTATTTATTTATTTGGGAGGGTGAGAAGCACAGAGGGAGAGTGAGAAGCAGACTCCCAGCCAAGCAGGGAGCCCGATGTGGAACTCGATCCCAGGACCCTGAGGTCATGACCTGAGCTGAAGGAAGATGCTTAACCAAATGAGCCACCCAGGTGCTCCTCATTGTTGTTTTAATTTACAATTCCCTAATGAAATGTGACGTTGAACACCTTCTTATAGGCTCATTTGCCATCTGTATTTGGTGACGTATTTGTTAACGTCTTTTACCCATTTTTAGATTGTTTTCATTTTCTTGTTGTTTGGATAACAGTTCTTTATCAGATGTGTCTTTTGTAAATATTTTCTCCCAGTCTGTGACTTGTCTTCCCATTCTTTTATTAGTTCCACTTTTATAGATAATAAATGCTACAAATTACTGGAAGCTTACCATACACCAATCACTGTGCTAACCACCCTACATATATTACCTCATAAAAATTCTATGAGGTGCTGTGTTTATTGAGGTTCTTTGGAATGTAAGCAGCAGAAACCAACTCTGGCTAGTTAAAGAAGAAATGTATTGAAAGGATGGATAATGGGGTATCT